TAACTGATCACTGATGACCACAAAGAGAAGTTTCAGTGAATGGTAGAGAGGGATGGAAGCCACTGAAAGGGAACAAAGACTGTATTGGTGATACAGAAATCAGGAATAGTGAGCAGATCACTCTAAGAAGTTTAGGAATTAAGAGAAGAGATTAAAATGTAGAATGCAGCTGTAAAAAAGAAGGATCTCTTCCCCTTTGAGACAGCATGGAGGGACCTGGAGAGTATTATGCTAAGTGAAACAAGCCAGTCAGAGAAAGACAAGTATCACATGATCTCACTTATATGTGAAATCCAATGAAAAAAATAAAATGACAAACAAAATAGAAACAGAGACATTGAAGCATGCAACAGACTTACATATTACTGAGGGAAGGGGGTAGTGGGAAGAGATTAATATAAGAATTTATATGCATATATGCATAACCCATGGACATAGACAATAGTGCAGTGAAGGCCTGGGTAGGGGGCTGGAGCTGGGTGGAGGAGGTCAATGGGGGAGGGGGGGTAAGGGGACATTTGTAATACTTTCAACAATAAATATAAATTTTTAAAAAAACAACACCATAGCTTGGAAGATATAACAGGATCAACAGATTTTGTTTTCAGGTAGGGAACTCTAGAGCATGTTTGTAAGCCAAAGGCAGGGCACCAATGACAGGGAAGGGGCAAATGTAAAAGAGAAAGGCTTACAGAATGTAGAAGGGACTCAATGGTTACTGTACAAAGCAAAAAACATATCCCTTGGAAAGAAGAGAAAGAGTGGTAAAGATAAATTTGGGCTGAAGAAAGAGTAAGCTGATGGTGGATACTCTAAATTTCCTCAGCATTGCAAAAGCCAGGATGGATTAGGGTAGGGAAAAAGCCAGGATGCTATTTCCATGATCTGGGGTAAGGTGAGGAGTACTGGATTGGAATCATTGGTGCGGAAATGGAGAAGTAAAAGACAAAGATACTTACATGTGTACTTCTCAAAGGCAAAACCAATATAACTTGGGGGCTCATTAGTTATAGATGAAAAAAAATGAGTAAAGATTCAAATTAAGGTGAGTGGAAAAATTATGATACTTCAGAAAGTAATAAGACAAGTGAGGTAATATATCATGTTAAATTTCAAGTAATGGTACAACATAAAAGTAAAAATGCTGACATTTCACTGCTTATTATTCAGCATCCATTTACTGAAGGTCTACTGTGTACCAGATGCTGGCTCCAGGAACTGGTGAGATAATGGTGATAAACTTATATGATCTCTCTCCTCACAGGACTTAAAGTTTACATGGCAAGACAAATGGGTACCAAGGCATTGTGCTCATTCAGGTGAGAATCCACAAACATTGAAAATACCCACTTCTTAAAAACTTGGGGGGAAAAAGGAGAGTCAACAGCTTGTTCTGAACCAGCTAACAAGAAGGCCCTCACTCTGCATTAAGAGTAAATAAATATAATATGAAAGTGTTAGAAAATGTGAAAATGATATCTAAATGAATCATAAAACTTTAATAAGTTGGCAAAGAAGCAAGAACTAAAGCAATCTTAAACGACTTAAATTGGAAACATGGGAAGGAAAAAATTAGTTATTAATAGCAAAATAAATTTTGGTTCAAAACATGTTTTACTCTTCATCTGGGCCAATTTGGAAAGCTTTCATTTGACCTTAGATTTATCAAGGATAAGTGTAACGTTCTTCCTTTCAAAGTCCATTAAGAATAAAAACCATAAGTTAAGCACATCTATTCTCCAATGTGAATTAAGAAAAGGGTCTAAAAACAGGGAGACCGATATGAACCCTATGCCAATCAGAATAGAAACATGTGACACAAAAGAGTGAATCAACATTTAATTAATGTTCCCAAATTTAAACCAAACAAAATAAAACAAAAACAGGGGTTTTCTCACTGGAAACTTACTACACAGAGCTTTGACATAGGAAGTCCAAAAGCAAACTAAAAAGCAAAAACTTTTCCAATAAATTATTTGCATTTGTAGGATAAATGAGACTATCCAACAAAACAATGTGAAAATTCTTGTGTGTGTGTGTGTGTGTGTGTGCGCGCACACGTGTGTTTAAATCAGAGACTCTACACAGGGGGCCAAATATTAGAGTTCAAGGGATTAAAATAACAACAGTTGGTATTTCTGTAGCAAGCCAAGGGCATTCAGATTTCAGTGGTTTTGTAAGAAGATACTCCTGAAGGAAAACTTCGGCTGTACTAACCTTCCAATTTTTGAGAAGCAATCATTCCCTATAGCTATTATTGCTTATTCTAACCTACTAGATTAGTCTAAATTCTAAAAACATCTGCATGATCATCTGAGAGTGAATTTCTCCAAATCTGCTTACAATTACACTAATTTAGAGTTGTTCTGGTGGATTTATTTGGCTACTTATACTGAGTACAGTATTTCCAGAGCTTTTAAATAGGGACTACTATTTTTTTTAAATACCACAAAGACTAAAATGTCAGCTCTTTATTAACTATACTGGGGAGAAAGGAGGCATGGTTAAATGAAATTCACAAATACTTCAAGTACTTCATTTTAGTCATTACTATTTAATTCTTCCCTTTTAGTCATGTCTTAACAATTTTCTATTTCTGTCCATAGCATCTTGACATGCTATTATTTAATTTTAATTTTATTTGTTTATTTTTTATTATCTTTATTGATTAAGGTATTACATATGTGTCCTTCTCCCCCCATTGCCCCCCCAATTCCCCTCTCATGCCCAATTTTTAAAGAAACTTTACTCAAAATGGAATTCTTTATTTTTAATATTGTGATTTGACAGGCATGAGTCCATCTACTTGATGAAAAGAACAGAGCCAGGGTGTGAGTCAGGGGCTGGGGGTGCGGTGCTTGGGCCTGTGAGCCAACTGCCTTGATTAAAATCCTAGTTCCACTAGGACAGTGGTCGGCAAACTCATTAGTCAACAGAGCCAAATATCAACAGTACAACGATTGAAATTTCTTTTGAGAGCCAAATTTTTTAAATTTAAACTATATAGGTAGGTACATTGTTATTAACTTAATTAGGGTACTCCTAAGCTGGCCTTTGCTAAAAATGTCCTCAATCTGATTGAGGTACGTTCACTGAGGTCGACCCCTTCCAACTCTCCCATCCACACTCATCTTGTATACTTATTTCATCTATCTCCTTTCCGAAAACCGACTTCTGCGCATGGGCCACGAAGTTTCAATCGCACTATACGTGTGTGGTATTTTGTGGAAGAGCCACACTTAAGGGGCCAAAGAGCCACATGTGACTCGCGAGCCACGGTTTGCTGACCACTGCACTAGGACATCTGCTCCTCTACCTTATCCACATTTGTTACCTGCTTGTGCTGTCAGACCATGACAACAGCTATCGATTAGAATCAGTTATTAGATAAATTCTTTCATGGAAGGGTAAGTAAGGCCAGGTGAGATTAAAGGAAAGGCTTGAGGACAGGGGAGGGAATCATATCTATATTATGCTGTATGAATTTACAGGTTACTGCACCTCAATGATTTATCAAGCAAGTTGGATAACCGCATTTTGCTACAAATGTTCCAAATTTCTTCCCTTCCCTCTTTCCTTTCTTCTTTCCTTTCTTTCTCCCTTCCCTACTTTTGACTTTTTTTTAAAATAAGAGAACAAAAAATTATTTTAAAAAAGAAAGCAATTTATAAATGTTTACTTTCTTAGCATTGTCACCCTGGACCAATCCACTAGAAACTGGAATTATCACAAGAAAGCATGTTCTTTTAAGAGTTCATTTTCCAAACAAAATAAGTATGGGCTTAGTAGTGGGTGAAATAAAAAATATTTCAGATTCTTTGTAACATCTCAAAATTATTTTTCAAAAAAAATTGGTTTTGGCAATATCTTCTACATGCCTTTTCCCAAAAATGTCTCCTTCAGAACTGTGGGATGGACATGTTTAGGGAAATTTAATTTTTTCGTAGTCTAGATTTCCTAATCAAAGTCATGTGAAAGGTACTTTTGAGGACTTATAAACATTTTAAAGGTCTTTCTTTTTAGTTCAATTTAGACAAATAAAAATAAGCACTACACAAATAGATACTTGGCCAAAAGGTACATGAAAAAGTGCTCAATACCTTAGTACACAAGAAATGCATATCAAAATAATAATGAAGAGAGAACTACACTAGAATAACTAAAATGAAAAATACTGACAACACAAAACATGGTGAGAATGGGGAGCAACTGGAACCCTTCCTACGTTGCCTATGGGAATGTAATGGAAAAGTTAGGAAAAAAACAAACAGAGCAAAAAAAATTAAATATACATCTTTCCTGGGAGCCAGCAACCTTTCCAACTTTTTTTTTCTTTTTGTCAGTAGTGGAACAATCCACCCTTTTTACTTGCAAAAGGTGAACAGAAAGCTACTATATTTCTCTAGGACATTTACCTTTCCAACTTTTAACAGTCTTTCCTAACTGCCTTCAGCCTCATCCTCTGAGCCTTCATTACACTTCTCACTGATACTCCCCATTTGCCATGCGGCTTATTCTCCCTTGTAGTTTATTCTTTGTTAAGAAAATATACTGCCCAGTCAGCGTGGCTCAGTGGTTGAGCATCCACCTATGAACCAGGAGGTCACGGTTCAATTCCTGGTCAGGGAACATGCCCCGGTTGCGGACTCAATCCCCAGTGAGGAGCATGCAGGAGGCAGCCAATCAATGATTCTCTCTTATCATTGATGTTTCTACCTCTTTCGCCTTCTTCCTTCCTCTCTGAAATCAATCAAAAAAGAAAAAGAAAAAGAAAAAAGAAAACATACTTGCATGTGTTTCTATTCAGGTAGGTGGTAACTCCCTTAAGGGTAAGCCTTTGCATTCCCCTTACATCCAGAATGGGCTGGACAGCTAAGAGGTGACCTGTAAATGCTGATGCTCCCGATATTTACACATTTTTCTAAAGCATGCACAAGTACTATTAAAAGCAGGTACTGATTTTCAGATGAAAAATAAAGTCTTCCATTATGATGAGTTACCTGTCATTGGGACAGTGACTCGGCAATGTCCAGTCATGGTGTGGGTTAATGAGGAAACCCCAGGACAGGAAGACGGAGCTTGGTGTCAGAGTGCCAACCACCAGCTGGAGAGGCTTGCGAGAGCGTGTTTTGCCTGCGGAGGTGACATACCGGTTAATTCTGTGACACTTAGTGTATTTTCATGATGGGGTAAATGCATGAAGATGACTTGGTAAGATGAAGAAAAGTGTGAAAGTATCAAGTTCCTTTTAGACAATGCACAAATATTACTAATTCTTTGACAATGAATTTAAGCATGAATCAAATGAAATATTCCTTTTGATATTTATGTGTGTGTATATGTGGATATATGTATATATTCATATATGTGTAATATATACATATAAACTATATCCAATTATATCTAGTTTTTATTTTCTTGGGAGTCAGGGATGAATATGGAGGTCTTGGCTGTTACCAGTAAAATAAAAGCACACACATTTTCATATACATATACATACTATATTCACATATACATATATGTATGTATGTATATATACACACTCATTCCATTTCTTTTACATACAAAATAAAAACATGCTGTTTTTCCCCCTGGGACTGTGAATTAGTGTGAAATAACATCTGAGAAAAGAAAGCTTAGCATCTAGGTGTAGGTATATTCTTTCTTTAAAACCTATTTTGGAGTGTAAAATCCCCATCACACCATTAAAATAAGAATATTTTTTACAGTGAGTATCTAAATGGAAAATGCAGATACACTTTTAACAATGCTGGGAGAGGAGGAATAACAGGAAGCACAGCTGTTCTGATGGGACTGAGTAGATTTGGGCAATGCTGATAAACCACTGTAGATTCTTTTCAAGTATTTAGAGACCAGACATTTGCCTTTCCAAAAATATGTGAAACTGCAAGAATGGAAACAGTGAAAAAGAGAAGGGAAGATCCTCAACCATAGAAACCAACACTGTCTCATAAAACAGAGTGAATAAAATAAAAATCCAATAGCAGACCTAATAAAACTGCATAGAGCTAACATAAAACATATATGTTTGTATTTTCATTGGATTCCCCTTTCATTTCACGAGACTATGGGTGTTGTATTTGCTATAGGACAAACTTGTGTTATCTTAGTCTAATGCAAGTGGGAACCAGTGGGTAGGAAGGTACCCATTGTATGAGCTTAGTGGAGCTTATCTGAACCAAAAGTCCTTGGAAATTGTGTCATACTGTTGCTTCTATTAGATTTAAGTTTTGAAAATTGTTATTCCAGTGAAAAAATCTTCTGAGCCCAGAAAATACATAACCTAATGATGACAAATTGCTTCATTGTAACATAGCTGAATTTTTACAAGATATCTGAAATAATTTTCAATGATAGTTATTGTTTACTTGGTTGCAAACATGCATTTATACTTCTCTTTAGATTTTTCCAATCCACGCATCATAGTACCTTGTACAATTGTGATACAAAGGGTCCAAATCTGGGCGCCAAGGGGGGCAGATTAGAATCTAAAATGAGGGTAGGGGGCACCGGTAGTTTTAAAAGGCCCTGAGATGATTCTGGTGTGCCTTTTTCCACCCCTGAGTTGATTTTCACTAATGTAATACTAATGTAATCTTATTTTACAGATAAATACAACTTTCAACCCACAGAACTTTCAAGGGTGGCCAAGGTCACACCAAAGGCAATTGTAATCTAATTTTCTTTTTACTGCATCATTGGTTTAGCTCACACCTTATGAATATGATGCCACTGAAAGACCACAAATACATTTTTCTTTCACAAGGGAACCTACAGCTTACATGACCCATCAAATAATTATTTCACTAAGTTTGATTTTAATATAAAATGATTAAATAATTAAAATGTATGTGGTAGATGCAAATATAAAATGAATGGAAGTGAATCCATTAGTCATGACATCATCCTCAAATGCAGATTACAAAAACAAAAATGATATCTGCTGCCTGAAAGGAAAGGTGGGGTATTATATCCTGAGCAAGATGAAGCAGTTTCCTGCCCTGGTCATCACAAAGTGAAAAATGACTGCTAAGGCCAGTGTCATAGCAGCTCCAAAACAAAATGAAGTTCTAAGGTGCTACTAAGGTGCAATCACCGTCTTGACTTTCCTTATATATTTTTGTATATGTGTATTATGATCATATTTGCATTAAGAAACAGTTCAATGAATATGAAGCCAGAATCCCATGGAACCAGACTCATGCTTCTTGACTTTATTGTTAAATATTTTGAAATAGAGTCTTGAAATATTGTGAGATTATTTATTTTGAGGAGTATGGAAAGCTGCCTGGACAACTATTGTTAACACGTTGTAAGCAGTGATTGAAATTTTCCTTGGGCTTTGGGAAAATATAAAAGGTCAGGAAAAGGAATGTGTATTTTTCAAAATGCTTGACTATTTATTGCTTCTCTTAAAAGAAGTGGAAAACACCAGAAGGAGTGGGGAGAGGATTGTGGCAACTGATTTCTGTGAACCAGGGTTGGCTGATTCATCTAGAAGACGAACACACAGCTGCCAGGGACCCCTTCCTGGGTATATTTAAAGATCTATGTTCTCCCCACCCATTTCATACCTTAAAAAAGATGTAACAAAAATAAAACAAAACAAAAAAGATCCTTTTTTGTGTGTGGCATCCAGTCTACTATAGAAGATAAGTCTGATTAGGAAATAATTATTTTGAGAACAGTTCACATTGGAAAACAAGGTCAACTCTACCTACTGAGTTAGGAAGTTGTGGATCAGGTGGTCAATCATATTCGCAGCTATAATTGGTCCCTCGTTATAGCAATGGCAACTCATTTGATCTGAGAAGACACTTAAGTAGGGAAACTGGGGAAATTTCAAGAAGGACTTTAATCTTTTCATCATGTGGAAATAATTCTACTCATTTATTCATATGGCATCTATGTTCCCGTTTTAAGACATCCTATCCATGGGAAGATGGGGGTTGCACTGCTGTTTCATAAAAGGAGTTCTTTTATATTTGACTAAATAGAAGAGGTTTAGAAGGGAGAGATCAGGAGTAAATAAAACCTAAGTCTATTTAATCCAACACATATAAATTAATTATGCCTTTGAAATGTAAACAGTCTCCTTCAGCAAAGGTTAGACATCAAAATCTGCCTTCAAAATCTGAAAGGCCCAATGGCAAGCATGGGGTCACACATTTCAAAACAAAGACACTAAGAGGAACAACTCTCAGGGAGCACTTGCTATGAGCCAGGCCTTGTCCTAGGTGTGGCTTATCCACGAACTCATTTAATTCTCACGATGACCCTAATTATGCAGCAGAAAGGAGGCACTGAGTGGTTCAAAATTTGCCTAAAGCCCTTCAGTTCACATGTGGTGGTACTGGGATAGGATCCCGAGAAGTCTCCTCCCGCCTCTGCTACTAATCTATTGACCCAGAGCCTGCTGCGCATGTTTCAACTTCTAAACTGCATTCTTAAGGCCTCCCCAAGGCACTGGGTCTCCATGGGTAGAAAAGAGACAAAAAGTCATGGTTTAGAGTTAATAAAAAACAAAGTGAATTAAAAATACCTGAGCATGACTTCTTTTGACTTGGTGGAGGAGCAGGTCGCACGACAATCAGATATTTAGGCTCTGCATCTGGAAATAATAATAACTTTATTTATCAATAAAATTCTTTGAGAACGAGCAGCATTTGCCACAGCACACCCATGTCCTGACTCAGTGCTCCCAACTTTAGTCATTGTAACCACAGTGGATGAGAAGACCCAGGAATTCAGAAACTTAATACTTTCTGCATAGTTCAATTTAACTCAGGTTTTAAAATGAAAATTAAATCCAGATTTTTAAGACCAAATGGACAGGGGTAGGGGATAGTTCTTAAAAGAATCTTACTAGACATGGATTTCATGTTACAGCTTCATCAATCCTTTCCCCTGTAGAGAGATTTTTTAAAAATCAGATCAAATCAATTCTGTGATCCTCTTCCTCACAGAGGTTCATCCTGATGCTAAAACCAGAGACGAAAAATCCCACTTGCATAAAATATATGGTCATGTCACCTGTTGTATGATCTGAAATGGCCCACTTTTGTGAAGATATTATTTTGTTGTTTTTAATCCTCACCTGAGGATATTTTTTTCCATTGACTTTTTTAGGGAGAATGGAAGGGAAGGAGGGAGAGAGAGAGAAGGAGAAAGAGAGAGAGAGAAAAAAACATTGATATGAGAGAGACACATCAACACATTAATTGGTTCCGTCCCGTAAATGCCCCAACCAGGGCTAGGGATCAAACCTGCAACCCAGGTGCGTTCCCTTGACTAGGAATCAAATGGTGACCCTTCAGCTCATGGGCTGACACTCTAACCACGGAACAACACCGGTCAGGGCAACATATGAGTATTTATAGAGAATCTGTTTTTAAAATATTTAGGTTTTAAATAAAATGGTATTTAAATAATTAGTATGTGCCAACTCAATCATGAGCTAATAATTTATCAAATGCTCTTTTTTAAATTGATGTTTCCAAGGTCAATGGTTGGTTTCAATATATGTAATAAAGCAAATACACTTGGGGCATACTAAATAGCATTTTATAAGCAGCTCTATTAGAATTACTAAGTGATGGGTATTATTTATAATAATACTAGTAGCCTTGCGCACGAGTCCGTAGCTCTCTGTAGCTCTCTGCTGCCGCCCTCCTGTAGCTCTCTGCCAACTGCCCCACCTTCCTGTAGCTCTCCGCCCGCTGCCCTGCCCTCCTGTAGCTTCCCCCACCCCCTTCATAGCTTGCTGCCCTGCCCCCTCCTGTAGCCTGTAGCTCTCCACAGCCTGCTTGTACCTCACTGGCCCACCCTCCTGCTGATCCCTGACCTGGTCTTGAAGCGCTTGATCGTTACGCCTCAGGGCTTAACAGCTAATTAGCATATTCCTCTCTTATTATATAGGATATTTCTTCAGTAACTTTGGATCCTGAAACTCATTCTACTCCAAGTTGCATTCAGACACTGCAGTCAACAGAGTTCCCCACCACTTTCTCAGGCACATCGCACATCTTGGTGTTGTGTTCATTCTGGGTTCACAGAGGCCTTGTCTGCCCCCGGCTTTACAGAACTTACCTCATTCTCAGCCGAAGGCAACCTGGAAATTTAACTGCCTTAAATGACTAGAGCCTTTGTTTTTTTTCTGGACATCTCACTGCTCTATTTGCTATAACTTGCTGGGTAATTACCATGGCATAAACCAAACCAGGGAACTTCAGGATAAACAGAGCTCTGCCTGTTTATCATCTAGTTGCCTCATGAGCACAGCACAGATAAAGGAGCATTCATTGTGTTTCAGAGTCTCAAGTGTTTGGAAGCAAATCCTGTTTAGTGAAGCTTATGTTGGGAATGCATTTAATCTAAATCAAGTTTCCTAGTAGAAATACATTAACCATTTCCTGATTTTCTTTGGGATATAACATGACTTAGGTATTAAGAAACTACCATGTATTGAGTATTTTCTGTGTGCAGGATACTTGTTAAGCATTTTACATTCATGCCTTCATTACTCCTCATGGCAATCCTCCTGACACATCTTATTATCACCCCAATATGTAGATAAGGTCACCTCAGCAGTCAGCTTGATGGGCACAAAATGAAGGCAGTCGCACAGAGTCCTGTGCCCAAAAGGGTGCCAAGCTTTGGTTTAATAACCCGCTGTCACCATATTGAAATTGTTAACACTTTTGTCTTTGACTTTGTGTTTTGCAAGGGAAGTTTGATGGAAGGATGGAGCATGCAAGTGAGCAAAGACCGGAACAATATGCATGTCCTCCCATCCGCATAGAGCATTCGAGATGCCCCATTAGCCCAGCATGTCAAAGGATCCATGATTGTTTGGGAGTTCAGCAACATTCAAAGGTAGAGCAAGGTGAGTATATTATATCTATGACTGAGTAAGGGCCACAGTTCCCATTTGAACCAGAACTTGATTCAAAGCATAATGAAGGCAATAGCCTTTTAAGAAACACAAATGAGTAAGGAATCCAATTGTATTCTTCCTTACGCATGTTACTTCTTGTATTCACCAACTACTTATGCTGGAAATGATGACGTAGAAGGAGTAGTTAGAGCAACCCCTAGTTCCTTTTGTTTTTATTCTTCCACATTCATAGGCAAGTCAAAGGCAGAGTATTGGTAGTATGTGCACGTATCAAGAAACGAAATAAAAAGTTGTTAGTTTTGTACATTTCCACTACTCTGGTAAGAATGAAATACATGTATGAACTACCAACTACAAATTGTGTAACGTCGGTGATACTGCTTTGTAGTTTAAAGCACTTACGTTTGCACTTAAAACTAGCATTGCCCAGTATAATGCTAAATGTTAAAATTCATGCTGATAGTAAACAAATTTAATTTAATAACATTAAGGAGCAAATAAAATAACACCAGGACAAGCTGAGAGGGAAACTCTGGAAGAAAGGGAACAACTTTATATTTTAGTACCTTTAATGGCACCCCCCACCCCCACTGCTTTTTGAACCAGGAACCCTTCATTTTTATTTTGCACTCGGCCCTGCAAATTATGTCGCTACCTTAATCTAGTCCTCAAAATGCCCTTTTACTAAAACTCTGGAATTTACTTCTAGAAAAAAAAGCTAAATCCCTATTTTTCTTAAATTGTCCTTAGTGAAACAAAGCCTCTTAGAGTTAGCCTTTTATTTCCTTCCTTGATACACATTAACCCAACTATGCCTCAGTGGTTTTTAAGAAGACTTGAAGTACTAGAAAAATAACACGCATGATCCAAGACATACAAGCAATTTAAAAGTAATTTTTGTTATGATCCCAGTCATTTCGCATAAAGCAAAGGCAGTTACAGCCAATTACAAATTGGAACAGATGTTGGAATCTGGGTGCACATGTGGCCCTCTCTGCTCGTTAAAAACTTTCGATGTTCATGGATTTCAGCAGTGTTTGCATTTGATTGGTAACACAGATACGGAAAAATAAAACAAGTGAAAAAGAAGATTTCTATTTCTGTTCTGAGCTATGAAATTCTTTGTGGGTTTGTAGCAACCTGGAAATATACACAACAGTAGCCTGATCAGAAATTCTGGTAAAACATGCCAAAATACATGACTTTTTCATTTAAAGCATGTGTTAACTAAAATGTCAATTTAAGAAAATCGTGTGGAATGCAGTTACCTTAACAAATGTTCCTTTCCTAATAGTTAAGCCTGTTGTAGACTATTTATATCTAATTTGCTTAATATTTTAAATGCCCTATGGTAGACCACAGAGGCAGTTTACTGTTTGGGGAAATCTACTATTGAAATCCTTTATAAGGTACTAGAGTTTTTTATTATATAAATAATCCTCCCATAATTGCTGTGTTTGACAAATTCCAATTCTCTCATTTTTTAATAGAGGACATCTGCCTTGTAAGCCACCTGCTTTAGAATGCTGTCAGAGTGCCGTTTGTTTCTGCCACATACATTTCCACACGATAACCATAAAATAAGCCAGATGATCCTAAAGGAAATCAGGTAAGGGGAATGAAAAAACCCCACACCATTTATTTACCATGCCATCTTTTTTCGCAATTTGGTTTCATGTCAAACTATGGCATAAGAGTGTGGACTCTGGAGCCTGGATAATTCTGCTTAGCTACTTACCAGCACAAGGTGAAGTACTTCACACCTGTGCACCTTAGCTTTCTCATCTTCAAATTGGAAAAAATCATAGTACCAGTCTCATGGGGTTCCCAGGGACGAGTAGCCTACAGACCGCCTCACACACAGGAAGTGCTCACGTAACTTTAGCCCTCATGATGATGAGGATGATTTCTTGAAGCAGTTTGTGCCTTAAGAGGTCCCGGGGACATATTAGAAGTAAGGAAAATCTTCCAAACCTTTTGTATCACAGATTCCAAAATACAAAAATTTCATAGAAAAGAAAATTATAGGCCATACTGATAAATATTCTGTCCTTGACCTTTATTCTCTTCTTCCAAGCTCTTTCTCAACTAGGCCCTGACTGTTAGGTTTCTGTGTTCATCTCTGCATTGTCCAGTTTTAGGGAGAATCCTGTGAAGTATGGCTAGTAGCAATCATTTCAGATTGAAACTGTAGTTTAACTCTAACCCTGTTGTTTGGCTTAACAATAGAAAGGTTATTTTGATTTTCTGAATTGTATAAATCATCCCATTCGATTGAATGCCTTATTGATTGAATGACTATCCCATTGATTGTGATCTTACTGGTTATCGAAGCACATTCTTCTGTACCTGGAAACAGGACAGCACAATTACCCTAAATTGTTTTAGTGGCCACAGGTGGTGCGTTCCAGCTGACTCAGTGGTCCCGAGACCAGAACAGCACAATTACTCTCAATTGTTCTGACAACTCAGTGGTCAGGAGACCCGAGGGCTCTAGATAATGTATTTCTGTCAATTCAGTGACCCCGAGACCCTAAACTGTAATTAACATGCTTAATTCTGCTTCTGTAATCTGCTTTTTGCGAGCCAGGTGCCTCATTCCAAACCCTGAGATGTAATCAATACCTTTGTGATTTTTTGCCTATATAATCCTGGAACGGTGACCAAATGGCTACTATGAGATTTGGGAATGGCCCCTCATAGTCCCGGATTGC